GGTTTAGCCAAGAACCTGGTTTAGACTATGAAGAAACCTTCAGTCTGTGGTAAAGCCAATTACTGTCAAGTTAATTTTGGCATTGGCAGCTTAATTTATTAGCCACTTAGACAGCTTGATGTCAAAAACGCTTTTTTGCATGGAATTCTTCAAGAAGAGGTATATATGGCTCAACCCTCAGGGTTTGTAGATGCTAATCATTCATAGCTAGTTTGTAAGTTACACAAGTCCCGCTATAAGTTGAAACAAGCCCCTTGGGCTTGGAATGAAAGGTTCGCTGTGTTTCTACCTTCTATGGGGTTTCAAAATACCTATTTTGATTATTCTCTCTTTTTCAAGCAAGCTGGTGAATCTGTTGTGAGTTTATTGTTGTATGTTGATGATATGATCATTATAGGCAACAATTCTGCAGCAATTACATAGGTCATTTACTCTTTAACAATTGAGTTTGATATCAAGGATTCGGGGCCTCTACATTTTTTTATGGGGATTCAAATTACTAGACATACAAATGGTCTGTTCTTATCCCAGACTAAATACATACAAGATTTGCTGCATAGAAGAGAAATGATTGACTCTAAAGCTTGTGATACTCCATGTCTTCCTTATAATCAGCTTTTGAAGGATGATGGTCAACCCTATAACAATCCAACCATGTATAGGAGTATAATAGGGGCTCTTCAATACCTTACATTCACTAGGCCCGATATTGCCTTTTCAGTTTATTAAGTGTGCCAGTTTATGCAAGAACCAATGAATTCTCATTTTACAGCTGTGAAGATGATCTTAAGATACTTAAAAGGGATTATGCATCTGGGGTTAACATATTCCAAGGGTGATTTGAATCTAAAAACTTTTAGTGATGCTAACTGGGCTGGAGATCCTAATGATAGGAGGTCTACAATTAGTTTAGTTGTCTTCTTAAGTACCACTCCTATCTCTTGGTCATCTAAGAAACAACAAACTGTTTCTCGATCATCTACTGAAGCTGAATATCGGGCAATATCTTCAACAACTGCTAAATTAGACTGGATACAATAAATTCTGGCATTTTTGTAGGTTTCCATTAGTTCTTCCCCTGCGTTGTTTTGTGATAATCTTTCAGCAATTGCCTTATCCTTCAATCTAGTTCAACATCAGCGAACTAAGCATATTGAGATAGACGTTCACTTTGTTTGAGAGAGGGTTGCCAAGAAGAAATTACTTGTTCAGTTTGTCTCTTCTCAAGAACAATTTGCTGATATTCTCACAAAATGATTCAGTGCTCCTTTGTTTAAGGTTCATTGTAACAATCTAATGCTTGGCAGCTCCAAGCATGAGATTGAGGGGGGATGTTAGAAGTATAAAATTGTAAGGCTAAGATGATACCACATGTAAATAGATTAGCTTATATGTTATATTGTTAGAAGAGACAATTAACTATGACTATAAATACTCTATCTTGTAATACCTTCCTTATTAAGCAAGATATCAATTCAATCATATTCTCCCTCCTATTTCTTTGTCTACAATTCTCTCTCTCTCTCTCTCTCTCTCTCTCTCTCTCTCTCCATTCATAGAACCTGAGATACTTGGTTAACACATAAAAGAATTATGAAATAAAATAAACATGTTGATGCGTTTGGTTCATTTATTTACAATGAGAAGACAATCAATCATGCACATTATGTTGATGTGTTTGATTCATTTATTTACAATGAGAAGACAAAATCAATCATGCACATTATATCTTTAACTTTAGTGGACTGTACAAAAGTAACTTTAAAAGTTCAAACAAAACCCTCCAAAAGTACGCAACAAAAATTGTCCATTTTTGCGCGAGACGCAGCTCAGCACAAAGCTCAATGATCTAATTAAATCCTATTAGCATTCTTCTGCGGCCAAGCTTCTACTTTTCCATCTTTTTCTTTGTCATAAAACTTCGGTTGTGTCAAGTTAATAATGCATTATTTTAAGCAGAGCGGCACGCACTTCAAACTTGTAAAGAATTAGAAGAAGCCCTAACCTCTCTGTCACTGATCCCTAAGATCGGATGGCTCACATTGCACGTGTGTGCATCCATAGTCAACAGTCAAATTTTGGTATTTTTAAACCCTAGAAGCAATGTCCCCTTGTGCTTTTCCTCAGTTCACAATTACAACCTTCCAAGTTTCTTTTTTTTTTTTTTTACCTACTCAATTCCATCTATTGAAAATATTCTCTTATTTTAAATCCAAATATTATAATGGTTATCAACATATTAACCTTGAATACAACTACTCTGAGAACTGTAGATTTCAAAATTATGTTAGCGACTCACTATTATCTTAGCCTCATAATAGGGGCTAGCAATAATGTGGTTCAAATTCGCTTTTACCGTGAATCGAACCTAAGACCTCTCATTTACAAATGAAGAAGAGTACCACTAGACCATAGTACTAAGTGACAAGGAGATGTCAAAATTTAAATTTGAAGGTTTAAGGGGCATATTGAATTTTTTTTTTTTTTGTAAATTTTATTCTACAACTGATATGTCAAATTTAAACTATTATGAATTACATTATTTAGTTTTCATAATTGTAATTAGTATTTTAAAACAAAAGATAATAACAAAAATTATATAGCATTTATTATCCACAAAAAATAGATTTGAAACTGCTATCAAATTTGACAGTAATTCCATCAACTGCCATTCCATGTCATGCTAGGAATTGACATTTCAGTTGGAAAACAATAGTGCTTTTTTTTTTTAATACCGTTATTACTGATGTGAACTTTTTGACATCTCATTTGAAGATGCTCTTAAAGCTTTCAAATTTGAGTTTGTGACCTAATACTAATACACAAATGTTGTCTCAATTTAATCATCTGCACACAATTCAACATGTGTTGAATTATGTCACAAAAGGTCTAAATGCAAATAACAAAAACTATTTAATATAAGTTTTCCCTTATTTTGTCAAGTTTCGATGAGAAATTACTTTCTTAAACAAGAACTACTTGTTAAAGCATTAAAAACAGAAAATTTAGGTCATGAAACTATATTCAGATGTGCCATAATGCTAGTTTTTCAGGCCAAATCTGACACTGTTGATGGTGGTTATGTCGATGATCATAAGTCATTGGAGCATTGTCGATTTTTTTTCGTTATAAATTATGAGGAAAAATAAAATGAAAACTTGGTGTTTGCGAACCATTTGTAAAAATCCAAAGATTTAAACACATACAACAAAACATTTCTTCACCTCTTCTTCTTTCAAGAAAACGACTATGGCAAGGAAGAGAGGCTAAACTACTTTTGAAGCTCTTAGTTTTCTATACATTTTCTATCAAAGTTCAATTCTTCATGTCTTTTTTTTAAGAAAACTAATGAAAAGAGTTTGAAAACTTTGAGTTTTAACAATAAAGACAAAATAAAGGGTAAAGTGAATAGTACTAAGTTTGACTTTTTAGTGTAAAAATGTGATTTTTCGTTCAAGTGAACAGTACCGCAGACTTTTTGTTAAAACTCCCTTTTTTTTTCTTTTTCAATTCACCTTTTTTTGTAATTTTACTTTCTAAGTGCAACTGTTGCAGGTGTGTGCATTTTCTATTATTTTTCCACAATGCAATTGTTTAATGCCAAAGATGCAAGGGACAAAGTAAGAAAGTGGTTACAGGCCGCTTGACTGGACTGACTACAAATTTCGTGTCTACGCCACAGTTATGGGCCCGAAGAAACAAGATTAATTATTCAGTTAATGTGACTTCACTACCATTATTTATTCTTTTTTTTTGTTGCTTCTAATATCTTGTTTAAAATTAGATTAATATGTCATAATCTTGTTTGTAATTATAGATTTTGGAGGAACAATTTGGTTAATTGGTTTGACAAAACTAAAGTTGCTGAGGTACTAACTAATGATTTAGGTTTGTGCATTCAATCAAGGGGACACTTTGTCTATATATAGGAATACAAAATCATAGGAACGAGAATATTAAAATTGGATTAGAGTACTAATGTTAGGTGAACTACTTATTAGAACAAAAACCTCAAGCTAGCAATGTGAGGCCTTAAGTACTCTTTGAGTGTGTTTGCCCTTTAATTACAATGATAACATTCTCTTGATCTCCCCCTAATTAATCACACCATTGACGATAGATTTCAAATCAAACTCATCATGTCAAACCTTAGCTCCCAGGGGATGCATATCCCAGTGAAATACCTTCTAGTTTTGCTAGCTAGGAGTATACTTCCTTATAAAGAAAGCTGCTCAATTAAGTTGGTAAATTTATTTATATTAGTTATAGAATTAAAAACATGGTAAACATGGTTAACATGGATGATTTATTGCTTTAATTTTGTTATTTGGTGATGACCATCAAGGACAGCTGGACCAACAATATTTGTTAATAAGGAAAAGATTAAACTATTCATGGGATTTCCAGGAATATTAAAGGTGTAGATGTTCTCCTTTAACCATGCTATACATGCCTTTGCATGTCAATCCAAATATCATAATAGACACCATTGTTTCTAGAGGCACTCTCAGGTTAAAGTTCGAACATGTATATAATTTCATGTTATTTAATAATGGGACAAAACCAAGAGTGCTTGAATCTTAGCTAAATCCATGAAAAATAGGTTAATTACATTAGATATTTGAATGCCAGAGTGTCCAAAAGTATCATCTTTTGTTTTAAATGGAGATTAATGGAGGGGAAGGACAATAGTTGAACTTTTCTTGAAGGTGGCAAGAAATGCCCTATCACTAAACTTGTAAACCGGGCCAAACGTGTAACATTGTTGAATTTGATAAGTGAAAGATGTAATTAACAATTCAAGATGACTCAGATTTCAAGATCAATTTGCCTCAATGTGGTTTATTCTATTATTGTCTCTCAGTAAAAACTACATTATCTTCATAAGATTAAGGTTGATTACTTAGATTAGCCAATAGTAATTTATGCACCTGCAGTAGTATTTTTTGTGCAACACAGAGAGAGAGAGAGAGAGAGAGAGAGAGAGAGAGAGAGAGAGAGAGAGAGAGAGAGAGGATTATATGATTAATGGTGCTAATTTCTTTTTCTTGGAAGAAAAAAAAAGAGGCTCAGTATATACATCTTTGGTCACAGAAACATCTGAAAGGCCACCGTTATATCCTTGAAACAAAACATGATGTGTAGGGATCGATCAGTTTCTCATCATTCTGAGCGCCAAAGCTTGAAGCTCCCCCAAGTTACCATTATATGGTCTCTTCTTAGAACAAACTTGGTACGAGAACTCCTCTCTGCTGCTTTGAATCTCCTGCATATTCATGGCAATATCACTGTTGGGGTCAATGGAGTCCAGAGAGCTCTGAGGTGAAATAGGATTCATGTAACTCGAATAACTCGGAAAGCTTGTGACTGATCCATTCCCAATCCCATTCCCCTGCCATTGAGTACTCTCCATGTTCCTTGAATCAACAAGGCTTTGGTGAGCCAGTTGAGCCTTTGCTTGCATCAATTGTGCTTGCAAACATGCCACCTACATATGAACGAAAAATTAAGACTAACTTTTAGACAATGATATGAAAAGGGTTTGCTTAATTCAACCTAACAACAAATGGGTTGGCTTATTTCAACCTAAAACCACGTATTCCATCCAAAAACCAAACATGTTTTTCTTATTTCAGCCTAAAACCAAAAGGGTTGGCTTAATTCAACCTAAGATGAAAAGGGTTTTCTTAAGTCGACAAAAATAGAAAAGGATTTACGAGTTAGCTAAGTTCGAATTCCTCCAGTGTAACAAAATAAAAAGTAGAAGGGTTGGCTAATTCAACCTAAAAACAAAAGGGTTAGCTTAATATTCTAACAGAAAAAAAAAAAAGAGAAGGGTTACCTGTTGTTGCAAGGCAAAAATGTGACCCACGCATCCATAAACGGGGTCTCGAATTCTTGCTTGAGCTTCATACGCAATTGTGACAACAGCTTCACAACGATCATGAACAGGAACATGCAACAACAACTTGGACACATTGCTGGCTCCAAACACTTTGTGGATGGCAGCAAAACGAGCAGGTCCTTGCTCGGAGCAAAAATAAGGTGCAAATATGCAATCAGGTGCACACTTTCTCCTCAGAAACTTGCATGCCCCACAAGGAGATCCAGTGCCAATACCAGCGCTGCCAGCACCCCCAGAAGCCATTTTTGGTACAGACAAACACAGAGGAAGGAGAGAGAGAGAGAGAGAGAGAGAGAGAGAGAGAGAGAGATGGTGTGAGAAAAAGAAAATATAATGAAAATTAAGCACACGAGCACACTAGGAAACGGTGATGAAGTTGAAGGAGGAAAGTGGGGCATTTAAAAACATAAAGGGGGAGTCTTACAAGCAATGTGAACGGGGGACAAGGAAGGTCTATGTGTAGGTTTCTAAGGGGACAATTTTTAATGGTTTATGTAATATCATGGGGTCTACTTTTTTTAAGCATTCATCATATTTTTAATACAATCATTTCTTTTTTCGTTTTATATTTTTCCAGTGTGGATGATTAATGGCAACTGAGTATGATTAGCAATTTTTTAATTGCAAAGTTTGATTTTAGGGTTTGAATATGTTTATATTTTCCGCCGAACGCCGCACCTGGGAAATGCTGCAAGTTGTCGCCTTGTGACATTGTGGTTCGCTCACTGCACTTGCCACAGCTCTTCTGGTATATTTTTCTACCGACAATTACTAATGATTCAGTTACCTTGAGCAATATGGTTTTAAAATAGGGTTTATAATGTTGCATACATATATACGTACGTGATTTATTAAGCTAATTAGTCATTAGTGTTGTTCAAGCTCAAGACTCCAATCCTCCAACTTGGTGAAGAAGATTGGTGCTGCTTTGATTTGGTTTGGTGTTTGTTACGAGGAAGACTTACTTGTGAAGAATATACTACATACGTATGTTTTTATCCCATGTTTATGTGATTGAGGACATAATTAGTAAGATGGACACAAATATAATCGGAGATAGGTAAGATTTTCTGATTAGGTCGAGGTTTTGGAAACTGGGTCGTAAGAAGATGACGAGATAAGTGCTTTCTTGTAGCTGAAGGATTGAACTTGAAGTCTATAATGAAGTGAGTGCAGTTGTGTTATCCTCGTACGTTATACAAAATGCCATTGATCACATGAGACAAAAAGGAAGACTAGTCAAAAGTGGGTTTCATAAGGCCATCGTTTTCACAAACCAAAATCTCACCTGTCACAAATTAAATCCTTCGGTCACTGCTGGCCTCTACTTGAACCACAAGAACTGCAAAATTTTGGATTTGTTGACTGAACCTAGTAGCTGCAGTCCAGATACTTTGTTAATTAGGGAAAAAAAAACTGGTTCAGTTAGCGTCAACTAACAAGTAACATCTCATAGAGATTTTTTTTTTTTTTAGGAGGTTCGTTATTTTTCAAAGGATTTACTTGTCAAGAATAACCCTCTAGAGCTTCGATTTTAGGTTTTAAGTTTCAGAGTTTGGTGCTTTAAAATTTTATGTCTAAGCAATTACATACTATGAGACTAGCTGAACTCTAAAGTTTAAGCTTTTGGTATGGTAATTTTAACACTAGACAATCACTCATGTCAATAAACAAAATCAAACAAGTAAAAATATGAGATTTTCTCAACTCGCCCAGAGTATGGGGTGAAAACCCAAGTCCTCACTTCAACTATGCTAGTCCCTCACAAGACAGTTTTACCAAAACCAAAATAGAACTTGGTCAATCAAGTATATGACCCAATTTATCCAAGGTAAAATTCAATGAATGAATGCATGGATGAATAATACAACAGGTGCTCCCGTGGGATCAGAATTATTATTGACCAGATGCCACCTCCTTAGGGCGCATGTATAAAAATTTTGTACTGTGACTTGGTGCATAGATTAGAAGCCACAAGGGAAGAGGTTTCAACTCAAATGAATGAGAAGGTCGTCATTCTAACAAAGGAAAATGGCAGTTTGCAACAAAAGCTACACTCCCATGTCACGGATAATTCTGAGCTCAGCTTTCTGCTTCTGCTTCTGCATGCAGATCAGCTTACTGGACAAGCTCTTACCACCAAAGCACTTAATTAAGCACACGAATGAATGGATGACCGGTGGTAAATTAATATGACAAATATACATACACACACATATAGGGGTGGATCCATATAGACCTGGCAATTTCTTACACGAAATGTAAACAATACAAAATAATGGGTTTTGGGTCAACACGATAACTAATCAGATTCTTATTAGGTTACACGAGAAGAACCCGTTAATAACAGGTCCCTAATAGGTTTACACGAAAGTGACATGTGGGTAACTTGTTTCGACACGTTACGAAAAAGTTATTTTGATGCTTTTAACTTTTTAAACTACAAAAACTTACAATAAAATACAATAGCCATAGTATATATGCATATAATTGTATATTAAATATGTATTGTTATTCTATATAAATGTAAAAATATTGTTTTATTTATTTATTTATTTTTATAGCATGCTATAGGTAAAGAGTGAGATTAAAAAAATTATAAAACACATTAAAAATAAAAGTATCAAGTAATTTAAAAAATACCAAACACATTAAAAAAATTATAATAATTAATTTACAAATGCGAAAAAATGTGAAAAAATATGCAAAGACTCGTGATCACATCCTCTACGCTATGAGTATGGATACATCATCTTTTGAATTTTTAAAACCATACAAATCCTTATGAATAGTATTTTTAAGGGAATTCAAAATAAATAAAATTCATAATCATTAATGTACAAGTCTAAAAAATGTGAAGCATATATAAACGTGCAAGGTTCCTCAACCTTGAAATGCAACTCCCTTCATTTTGCATATCCTGTAACATTTGGTATTTTGTAGTAATGTATTAATGTTTTTTCATTACGCTCTGATTTTGGAGTATGTAATACTTAAAAGACAATTTTTTTTAATTTTATGTTTTGAAGTAATATTTGCGTGACAGTGTGATATGCATATACCAATTTAGTATTATATTTTCTATTTTTTGTGGATCAAGTTATGTTTTTCATTTTCATTATTTATTGATTTAAAATATATTTTCTTTAACAGTTAACAGGTCAGGTCATATTAACGGGTCAATTTCGGGTTGTATCAAATTACCCGTTTACTTTAACGAGTGTTACATGGTACGGCCCATTAAGATATTGGATATGACACGAAAACGACACAAATGTCAGGTCTAGATCCATAGCACCTCTTTTTTCACATAACTATTGACACACATTTTTGTGGGGCCTACTCTATAGTGTATTTAACGATCCGAACTATCTATCTTTTATAATATTATTCATAGATTATCCTTACAAAAAATTAGACAAATGCAAAATCATTAAGACATTCATTTGAAGTTAAGAAAATAGACGAATACGATTCTACAAAGAAACTCTAAACACTTAATTCAACGGTTATATGGTTTCAGATTTGAGTAATTTTGGTAAACATGATTTTTTTAGGGAATAACTAAAAGATAGACGGTTCAAATCGTTGAAAATACATTACGAAGTATGCCCCGCAAAAACAAATGTTAAAAATTATAAAAAAATTAAAAATAAAAAGTAAAAAAAAAATTATAAAAACTACGGATCCATCCCATATGTATGTAAACAAGAGTGAGGATCATGAGGATTCTCAAATCATATTTGTTTATCATACATCATGCGGTCAGAAATCATTGTAAATTTTTTTTTATTTAAAATTGACTATAAACAATACCTGATGAAAAATGACAGCATGATATACGATAAACGAATATAATCAAAGGATTCCCGGGATCCTCAAAAATATGATCCAGCCAACATCCTCCCTCTATAAACAACTCCTATCCATTCACATATACATGACGTCGGAAGTTTAGGTTAACATTTATTTGGAGTCAAACTTTGATCATCATCCAAGCACATGGCACACATGCAAGGCTGCCTGCAAGATCCCATATCCAAGTTCAGTTCATCCCGTATCGGTAACTATTTTTTTTTTCTTTGGGTCGTAATTTCTTTCTTTTTACTCATAGCACTAGACCAAAAATATTTACACCAGTCTACATCAAGAGGCAGAAAGAAAGATTTGAATTCGGGAGATAATGTGTTAAAGAAGAAGATTATAATCATCAAGTAATCCACCACTTGCATATGTTCATCTTCTTTATTCAGAGTAGAGTTGTCCTTTAGAGTTTTAACTTAAGGTTTTAAGTATCAAATTTTGGTCCTACAACCTAAAAACTAAACTCTAACTGACAATTCTACATCTTGAAACAATCGATCATGCATAAAAACAAAACTAAGGTTATAAAAACAAAATATAAGTAAAAGACAGGCTTTCAGCCGGAGCTACTATGTTTGTTATGTCACATCCAGATCCGGGCCTCCACCACATCCTGAGTTTGACTCCACCGTAACACAATATTGTCCACTTTGGACCCCGACCATGCCCTCACGATTTTGTTTCTGGGAACTCACATGATTACTTTCCAATGGGTCACCCATCCTAGGATCGCTCTCGTGCGAACTCGCTTAACTTCGGAGTTCCTACGGAACCCGAGGCCAGTGAGCTCCCAAAAAGCCTCGTGCTAGGTGATGAGTCAATATTATATTATATATTTTACTCTATTATTCGTATTAATTTGATAATTATTTTGGTAGAATTTTGATACTTTGCTTTATATTTTCAATGTAGGACAGTCGACTTTCTCTGGAACAAAACATGACCAAACGGACAAATTTTGAAGTGATTCAAATTGGAGGACATTCGTGTGTTCATATCAAAATTTAAGAAATTTCTACCAAATGGTTATTTTCTGACGATTTAATAAAGGATTAGTGCGCGTTGCTGGAAAGTGACATTTTTGGGCTTAAACTGCTTTTTTGGAGCCCAAGATGACCTCATATGGGTTCGTGGCCTTCTGGAGAAGTGTTTAGAATAGTCCAAGCTTTAAATCCAGCTATGTTGGACCAGTTTTGAAGCTGATTTGGGTCCAGAACATGGCTGTGCAGATTTTTAGGCAAATTTACCAAGTCAATTTAGGATTATGTTTCTTATTTTATTTCAATTTATTTAGTTTCCTAGTCTGAGTCGAACACCTTTCACTAGGAGGATTTTAATTAAAGTATAAATAAGCCTTTTTGAAAACTTAGGGTCTCTCTTCTACGGACACAAGATTTGAGAAGAGGGATTTGGCTAAAGCTTAGAGAT